CGCCGGGGGGGGGGCCCCCCCCGGGGGGGGGGGGGGGCGGGGGGGGGGGCCCTGGGGGGGGGGGGGGGAAAAAAACGGGGGGGGGGGGGGGGGGGGGGGGGGGGGGGGGGGAAATTTGGGGGGGGGGGGGGGGGGGGGGGTAAAAGGGGGGAAAGGGGGGGGGGGGGGGGAAAATTTTTTTTTTTTTTTTGGAGGTTTTTTTTTTTGGGGGTTCCCAAGGGGGGGGGGGGCCCATGGGGAAACCGGTTTTGGGGGGGAAGGGGGGGGTTTTTTTTCGGGAAAATTTGGGGTTTTTTTTTGGGGAAAGGGGGCTTTTTTTTGGGCGCCCCCCCCCCCCCCCCCCCCCCCCCAAACGTTTTTCAAACGCAGGCGGATGTCCCCGCGCCAAGGACACGTACTTTGTGGGGCGAGCTGGACTCCGTCTACACGCACAGCCCGCCGCCGCCGCCTCCGTCTCTGTGGGCGAGACACCGGGGTGAGGCGCCGCCGCCCCTGAGTGTGCTTCAGCTCTTGGTGGAGCTTGATGTGAGTGTTTGTGCCGGCCTGGGTCGGAGCTGACTGCGGCGGCGGCGGCGTTTCTTTTGTCATTTCGCTTTTTGTCATTCAACGGGTGCTTGTATTTTGGTGTTCGGTGCTTTTTGGGGGGAGGGCATCTTTTCAGCTCGATCCCCTCGGCTGGTCATCATCAATGGGTGTTGGGAGAGGTTAAAGACTTCACATTAAAACTACAAACCAGAGGTATCGCACGGCAACATACGGTGTTGGCTGGAGGGATGCATGTTCCCGGGCCAAGCGTCAGACCACAATCTTCGAAACGCGACTCATGGAATACACCCCGCACAACGACTTGTTGAACACACCTATCTCACACACGCCAACCACCTCGTCTTGGTAAGGCTATTGTTTGACGTCACAGCCGCAGCTTTTGGGGTCAAAAGGAAACCTTAATTCACACAACACCCGTTCCCTCGAGACATTCCTTTTCGTGGTATCCTCTTTGTAGACTTCACAGCATCACAGATTTTGGGGTCGAGAAGCAACCGCTATTCACGCAACTGTTCCACTCGAGACATTTTATTTTCATTGTATCCCTTCTTGTTCGACTTGACAGCAGTCACAGACGATGGGGTCGAGAAGCACCCCTAGTTCACACCGGTATGTTTGCTTTCTTCTCGTCTACGTCTATGCAGGCGGCGCCGTGGGACCAAAGCGACAAGTTCCTCTCCTCCAGCGTGAAGTGGCTTCTCGAGCGCCTCGCCGGCATGAGCGAGCGGTGCCGGGAGATCATCACCCCGACCCCGTCCCCCGCCGCGTGTCCGTCCCCCGGTGGCATTGGCGGTAAATCCGGCGGTGCCGTCGAGAAAGGTGGCGCTAGCGTCGGTGGTGGTAGTATCAACGGCGGCGGCGGCAATGCTACGGCGGTAATGGAGGAGAGGAGGAAGGCGGCCCGCAAGCGGGCGATGGACATGATCGAGCAGAAAGCGTCGGCGTTCGCCCGGCAGATCGACATGATGGCCGCCTCCTCCTCCTCTTCTGAAGACGAGGAGGTTAAGGACGGCGGTGGTGGTGGTGGTGGTTTGTCCAGCGGCGCCGGTGCGGGGCGGCGAGCGGCCGGCACGTGCGCCTCGCCTGCCGGAGGGAGCGGGTCCTCCGTAGGAGGGGCGGCGGGAAGGCGGGGGAAGCAAAGGCTGAAGCGAAAGCAGCGGGAGCGGCGCAGCAGCACTAGCAGTAAGGAGCAGCGGCCGGAGTGCATCGTTTGTCGCGACGATGCTGACCGAGGGCCGTTGGGTTTTGTCGGGTTCGGGCGGCGTTCTCAGGTGCTGGACGTCAGGCCGGACGGGGAGGAGCGGTCCCCGGGGGTACACCTACAGGTGATGATGCACTAGCCTATTATAGCTCATCTTGGTGGTGAGAAGGGTATGGGGTTTGTTTGCTCTGATGAGCCCCTAAATTGTGTACGTGTTAGCTTGATGGTGACTACTGTAGCAATGTTTTCGTTTTCTTCTCTGATGAGGCCTAGCGTACGTATGTTTTGCTTGCCGGTGATGGACGTGATTATGTGATTCGCGACGTGGTTTTTTTGTCTCTGGTGAGGCCTAACGTGATATAGTCCTCACACACATCTTTGCTCCATCTCCTTTCAACCCCCCCCTCACACACACAAACATCCCCACCCGCCGTGTCTCCAAACCAACCCCACTGCGCGGTGGGATGCTGTGGACTGTCCGGTGGTGGTGGCAGTTTTGCGGGCACGCCCTCCACTACTCCTGCTTCGAGAAGTACTATGTGACGATGGTGCAGATCTCGGACAGCAACAACAACGTCGCGCTCGACGTGGACCAGGGGGAGTTCCACTGCCCCTTCTGCAAGGCGGTAGGCAACCTCATGGTGCGTGCGTTCGTCGAGTTCCGGATGGTTTCGTTTTTTGTTTTTTTTCATTTGTTTTATTTTATTTTTTTTTGCCTTTGTGCCTAGTTTGGATGCAGTCTGTGTTTTCGTGTGTTGTGTCCCTCTATTTATCTCTCTTTGCCGCAGCGTTCATTTAGTGGAAAGGGGGGGGGTGTACTCATAGTCGTGCATGCCGTAGTCGTTAGACCATTGACCTCGCATCCCTACAAAGCCGGGACGGAGCACGCCGGGTTCTCACCGGACCAGGCTCTCACATCACCAAGCGCGAAGCGCCGTGAGGTGTTCGGCGAGTCGCATGAAGGGTGCGCTGCATCCGGTTAAGGGTGTTCGGCATATGTGCTTACTTCCTTGCGTACGGATGACAGCTGCGTATGACTTAATTCATTTTCTGGTGCTTTCACTTCCAGAGACAGTTGTAAGCTCTGTGTAACTGCCTCGAGGGTGCTTGACCAATTTAAAACAACGTGGTGCGATTATCCCCCTTGCGCGGAGTGAGGGTTCTCGACCCCGCCTATGTGATTTTCCCCACGCGACAAATCTCCCCCCCTCAATCTCTCATGCCGCCCCCGCTGACCGTAGCTTATCGTGCCGATACACGTTGTAACAGAGTCCTGTTTTCTGAAATATTTTCCCAATTCGGCATGGGGGGGGGCACTGCTCCCTCTGTCTTGCCTTCCCCCTGCCCGTAACTAAGGTGCCTTGCTTCGAGGAGTCTTCGGAGGCCGAGGATAGCGATTGGGAGGAGGATGAAGAGGAGGAGGAGGTGGAGGAGGACGAGGGCGAGGAGGAGGTGGGAGTGGGGGGCAAGGAGAGGCTGGGCAAAGGTGCGGCGGTTGGTCACGCAGGAGGGGATCCGATGGACGTGTCTGAGGAAGAGGACCAGGTGAGTCAGAGCGGGGCTCCGTGACTGCATCTGTGCTGTTGATGTTGTGGTTGATGGTTCTTCCATGTTGACGTGATGGTTGTTGTTGCTGTTCGGCTTTGAGCCGCAGCGCGAACCTGTAGACAAGCGTCTTCTCTCATGACTGGCGTCAGCGAAAGCAGCGCGGTGCCCAGGCTTGTTTTGCTATCAGCCTGGCATATTTTCCCCTTTTTTTTCGGTTTTGTGCTCCGCCTTGACGGCCAACACACCCACAAAAGAAAGAAAAAAACACTTGTTGCAGCCCTGGCGTCATCGAGGTGTTTGTGAGCAAACGGATGTGCGGAATATGGTTGACGCTTGCAAATACCCGTCGACTGCAAGTGCCAACCGTCTCCTGTGCGTGCGTTGTCCTCGCAAGGCTTCGTTGACACCCGGGGCTGCGACGGGTGTTTTCTTTTTGTGCGTGTCGACCGCTTGGGCGCACCCCAAAGCGACATCAAATACACGAAGATGTCCGCGGGTGGTTTTTCTTGGCAAGGCGTCCCGCGACTTCGAAACACAATGGCAGACTCACGATGTTAGTTTCCGCACGTTTCGGCCCGAATTCACTCGTTAGTATTCACGTGATGCCGAAATCAGTTCATTGACTTGTTACATAGTTGATCAGCGTCTGTTATTCGCACAGTGCGTCGGCATTCCACGCCATCCGCGCCATCTCTGTATCGTTCACTCTGGACTACGGCCCCCGTGATTGAAGATTGAGCGGTGCTGTTATGTGTCACCTCAGGATGTGCAGTAGATATGTGTGGGACGTGTCAGCTCACCTACAGTGTGGGAGATCGATCGGTCGGGGTGTTGCCACAGCAAAATAGAGCCAGTGCGACAAGCGGGCTAGCTGCTCCCTCTCTCACACAATCCGCATCGTACATCGCTCTCCGTTGCCCACGAGGGGTTGAATCCGGGTGGTGTCCATCCTTCACAGCGCGCATGGCACAAAGAACCTTGAGCCAACCATCTCACAGAACAAATACATGATATGATCACATCCTTTTTCTAGGCGTCCAGTATTTACATAACGGCCCCAAATTCACTGCCCCCCGCCCCCCCCCCGGGTCAGGCTCACGTATTTTGCTGGAATTGTTTGGTCACGGCAGCAGCAGCATTTCCACGGCAGCAGCAGCAGCAGTACCCAGCAAGCAACCCCCCCCCCCCTTCCTCTTCTCGCGGTTTGTGGCGGCCGGCCATCTTTTTGCCAACGTCGACGTCCTGGCAATCAATCGATTCGTCGCCTTCGTTCGTGCCTCACCAATCAATCAAATCGCTGCTTCCCTTTTCTGCGCGATGTATCTAACAATCCACCTTCTTTTTCTCGATTTTTTTTTTTTTTTTGTGGGGGCGGTTGTTCCCCGTTCGTCTCACACGGAAGTCGAGCGGCGCCAGCGGTGATGGTGATGATGATGTCGGCTGGTTGGACAGGAAAGCCGCGCTCTCCTTGGAGACGGCACGGCCGTCGATGTTCGCCGCCCGGCAGTCGTCGGCGGCGGCGGCGGCGGCGGCCACCCGATCGGCGTCAAAGACGACGGCGGCGGCGATGGACCGAACGGGATCAGGGTTCGTGTACATGGTCATGGCCGGGAACGAAGACTCGAGCGAAGACGATGAAAACGGCGGCGGCGGCGGCGGGATCGATGTCGGCGGCGAGGATGGTGGCGGTGAATCGTCGGCACAGCAGCAGCTGTTTGACTCGGCCACACGGAAATTCTTGGAGGTGCGGGTGTGCCGTCGGCCGCCGGTCGTTGCGCAAGAGTGTGGTTTCGGTTGCGTAGGGGGGGGGGGGGGGGCAGACATGCGAGGCCAGCAGACGCTACCCTCCGCTGGTTGTGCTGCTGCTGCTGTTAACACCCCACCCCGGTTGCGCACCTACTCCTACCGCTGTTGCTGTAAACTCAGCTAGTCGGTTGTGTTTCGTGTGGAAGCGATAGATAACCGCGGTATTTCCAGGTGTCTTGGGTTTTATCGACAACAATGACGAAGCGGACATGATGTCGTGAGACAGACCCCCGTCTATTCGGACCTTCGGTTGCTGTACGAAGTTGGAGCAGGACACACCGTTCCCGCGTGGCCCATTTCACGGGAAGCTCCTCTCATCTCTTGTAGATCGTTCTTTGCCTGCCCTAGGTACTCGTTCACTTTTGACGTAACACCCCCCCCCGTTCTCTGCCACTCTGTGATTGGTGTAGGTTAATTTATCTTCCTGTACGTATTCTCGATGAGAAAACGAATCGAAAATGATTGCTATGCCTTCCCCTCTCTCAACCCGTTTCGCGTCAGTCGGTGTACGAAGTGGAGACCGGCGTGACACCGGTGCTCCCGTCGGTTACTCCTGAGGCTCTGTTCCTGAGTGCCTGCCGAGCCCTGGCGTACTCCGTGAGCTCAGCCGCCACCACGGCGTCTCCCATAGACTCCTTGCGAGGCTACGCGGCTGCGGCGGCGGCGGCGGCGGGTTCGGGAACGGAGGGGGCGGCGGCGGCGGCGATTGATCACGGGGGTGCCACCCGTCTCCGGTGTCTCCGGCTGGTCGCGGGTGTGCTTAGGAGGGCTGCCGGGCAGGCGGGGCTGGAGGAGACGGTGAGTGCCTCGGCTGTGCTGTTGCTTTGAAGTGCGCGCCCGCACACACACTCGAAGGGGCCGAAACGAACAGTGGCACCCTTGGCAGACACGTCTGTTTCTACCGTTTTCTGTCTTTGTTCCGGAAAATAGCTTAGCCTTCCCCTCCCGCAGTCTCAGATCATGGCCTTTTGGGAAGCATTTTCTGTTTTCAACCGCACTGAGGATGACGTCTTGTCGTTGGTCAGCAGGTTGGCGCGGTCGACGCTAATAATAAAAACACACACACACACGTCTATCCTCTAGGCGACAAAGCATGCGCTGGGTTTCAGGAAACACGTTTTGCGATTGTAGAAACGTTTCGTGTGATGCCGCTGCTGTATACGGCGATTCGAGTTGCGTGTGTTTTGTCTTTCGCATCGACCGCGGTAGCGGGCTGATGAACGAAAACGCGACGGGTGGAATGAGATTATCTCCGTCTTCGTCCCTTCAGTTGAGCTAAATAGTGTTGGTGTTGACCCGACGGGCGCCATCGCACCACCACATACCTGTTTCTTCGGCGTGTGTGTGTGGTATGCACCTGGAGAGCGGGTCTCTTGGTGGCGCGCATTCCATGCGTCTAGGTTGTGCTTTTGCACGCCAATGCATATCCCCCCCACCGACTCCGCGCCCCCTCGCTGTGTTTCTTGTGTGGCAGGTCCGTCGGAAGCTTGCAGGGTCTCTTGCTGGCACCTCCGCGGCCGGTCGTGACGGCCTGAGCGGCACTGGTGCCGGAGCAGCAGACGCGACGGCGACGGGGACAACACCAGGCGATACGAGCAGCGAAGGAGGAGGAGGAGGAGAGGACGCCGCTGGTGCTGCGGCCGGCGGCGTTGATCCCTCCCCCGCCGACATGGCCGCCGCGATTGCCGAGGTCTCAGCGCGGCGGATGCAGCAGAAAAACTTACTCGCAGGGCTGGCATCCTTCGCCGGGGGGCGAGAAGGGGGCGGGGAGGAGGAGGAGAAGGAGGAGCTGGGATTGGACAGGCCGTTGCTGTTGGCGGGGGCTATGGAGACGCTTGGGGCCGCTCTGGTCGTGCTCCCGGCGGGGGACACCCAGGGGGCGATGCAATGCGTGGGGTGAGCGCCTAGACTAAGCGGCAGAGTCTTGGCGCGTACTTGGGGGGTATTGAGCACGTGCATACGTCCAGACGGTGATGTGATGCACGGCTCCAAGGGTGACCTTCGTAGTGTATTTCTGTCGTGATAGTGATTCTACATATAGGTGCGACCATATAAGCGGGAATATATTGTAGCCGTGGTGTGTCTTGTTCCCTCTCTTCATCTGTGAGACCTGCGTATCTCCACTTCACTTACCATGCGACAGGTCTTGCTTTGCTGTGATTCCACGCAATCATGCACCGCCTTGACCAAGTGACGCCAGACGACGCACAAGTTTCGCTTTCGGCTTGGCGGCGTAGCGTGCATGTAGTTCTGCGGCCGAACCCGCAATATCCTCCAAAGACAAACAGCAACAAAACCTCGCGTTTGTTTTTTGGGATTAGGCTGTTCCAAGGCAATACATTTAGCGCCTGGCCCCCAACTTGCATACTCGTGGGTACACTGCTGTAGTGCAGTTGTCTGGGGGCTACCTCCTGCCACTACCGCCGTATGCACAGGTTAGAGACTGGTGCACATTTCAACGCCCTGGTGTTTGATGTCATCGGTGTGTCCGATTTTGGCAGCACCTTCTTCGTGAATGCTTGTGACGTTAGTTATATTATTATCACGAGCACGTTATTTTTTTTTCTTGATTTTTTTTTTCTCTCCTATGGTTTGGCTATTCCTTCTCCACTCACGAACTCACGAACTCACTTACTAACTCACTCACTAACTTTCTGCCCGCCGTCTCCGCTCATGTCAGCCACGACTGACCTGACCGCTGCCCCTGTCTTGTCAAGCCTCTGTGCCTCGAGCGTGCTCTCCATGCCGACGCCCTCAACTCACTTGCTCGCTGTCTGTCCTCCCTCTGCCCCACCGCCGGCCCCCCATCTCTTCTTCAGGGCTCTATGCCTGGTGCGGGTTCTCCAGGTGCTGGCGGCTTTCTGGTTCCAAGACCAACACAACGGGGGGAGGGACGCGGTTGCGGAGGCGCTGTTCTTGGACACCCGCTGCGGGCGAGGAGGAGGAGGAGGAGAAGAGAAACCGGCGGCAGCTGCGGCAGCAGCAGCAGCAGCAGCGGCAAGAGATGGGGAGGAAGACGGAGGGCCCGTGTAAGTATTGTAGGTTTCTCTTGTTTGTGCGGATATTCGTGATGTCGGTTTTGCGGCGGGGCATTATAACACGAGCGGGTGTGTGCTTCGCCCCGCCGGGGGGGGGGATAACTTGTGTTCCGTTTTCATTGGCTGACAGCACACGGGCTCACGGCGCAGCTCTCTCTCTCTCTCTCCCTCTCTCGCTCCCTCCCTCCGAGTAGACTAGGCACGTTAGTAGGTGCTCGATTCGTGTTTGTTGATTATTAGACGGCGATCACCGATCGAGGTCGTTAGCAATCACCTCTAAGGATTGTATGCGTGGTGGCTGTCTTGTGTGTGGTGGCTGCGAGTGCTTGCGCGTGGTGGTGCTTGTGTTTCATTTTTTTTGTGCGGGGTGTCTGTCCTCGATGCCCCTCCACAGGGTGTGGCGCATTGGGCTTGCCTTGTTTCAACACCGCACCGTTCTATTACTTGAAATCTAATCATGTGTCCCGAGAAAAAAAACGATACTTGTACTCATTCGCGCTTCTTTTCGACTCCTTCCCGCACGAATGGCGGCAGTGTCGCCGGACGCTTGGAAACAGGGGGCACCGTCGCAGGAGCAGGAGCAGCAGCAGCAGCGTTAACCGCAGATGCAGATTCAGCGGCTCCGCATCGTGGCGGCGGTGGCGGCGCGATGGTCCCGTCCGGCCGTCGTGGGCCTCCTCCTTGGGAGAGCGGCGGTGGCGGTGTCAGCAACAACAGCGGTGGCGGCGGCGGCGGCGGCGGCGGCGGCGGCTCGACGCCCCTGCTCCCGGGCGGGAGGCGCGCGGCTGCCGAAAGCGTTCGAAGGTTCTCTGTTCCTGACGGTAGCGGCGGCGGCGGTGGCGATGGCGATGACGGCGCAGCAGCAGCAGCTGGTGGTCGTGGTGTCGGGAAGATGCCGGCGTCGACGACGGAGTGCGGAAGGGGCAGTGGCGGCGGCGGCGACGGTGGCGGCGCGAGCGGCAGTGACCGGTACGTCAGGGTGGCGGGCCCCCACGTGACCGCCTTCTTGCGCACGGCTCTGCTCATGGTTCACATCTGCATGCAGCCGCCGTCGTCATCGTCGCCGGATCCGAAGGAAGTGTCGGGAACCGCAGGAGGGTCGGATGGCTTGGAGGAGAAGGTGGGCGGGAACAACGGCTCGGGCCGGTTGGGTTTGCTTCCCAGCGCGGACGATGCGTTCTCTCCCCTTTGCCGATTCTTCGGCTTTCCAACTTCCGCGGAGGCGTTGCTAGCGGAGCCCGGGCTGCTGGACGCCGCGCGGAGGTGAGCCGCTGCTCGCGCGCGTTCAAGGCATTTTTTTTTTACGGTCGTGTGGACCCTGCCTTGTAAAGAGTTTACCGCTCGCATGTTGTGGCATTGCGTAGATCTGATGTGTTCGGGGACGGATGTCTATGTGTGTTGCTTTGGTTGACATCGACCGCGCTATATATAACCTGCTGGCGTGTGAAAATTCGCGATCCTCAGTTGTGCGGCAATGAAACGTATCAACACGATTGTTTATCCGCGGGCCTCCCTGCAGGGATGGGTGGGGGTACGCGACTGAGAGGCACGGTGTGTTGTCCTGTCTTTTTTTGTGTCTCTTGGTGGTGGCTTGGGTCTGGTGTGCCCTTTGTTGTTGTTTCTTGTGCACTCCGTTTCGTGGGTTAAGAGCATCACCGCGCGATGTTAACGTACATGGTCCGTCCGCACGCCCCACGGCGAGACAACTTATGCTGCTGCTGCTGTTGCTGCTGCTGCTGAGATCCCGCCCTAGGCGAAGAGTGAGGTCCGCGCCGCCGTACCGTGATCGCTGGGACGTACGTCCGTACACGTGGTACATGTACCTTACGCGAAAGCATGATAACGTCTCTTGTATCCCGCCGCAACTAACACCCTCTCTCTCGCTCTCCGGCGGTCTGTGGACGGACGACTCCGCAGGTGGCTGGCTTGTGTGTCGGGCTCAGAGACCGTGCTTGGGCCTGGGACCCTCCCGGCGGACGGGGGCCCCGTCGTGGGAAACACGGTGGGGTCCCTGCTGCTACTGTTGAGAAGGGAGAACGTCTGCCGCCGACTCTTCGACTTCCCGTCTCCGGTCAAGGTGAGAGAGGAGAAAGAACTTAACTGGTATATTTTTGTTGTGCCGGTGAACCCGGGGCGGCCGCGTTTGGGTTCGACTGGCGGTCTCTCTCTGTTGATCGTCGACGGGTGGTAGATGTGCGCGCCTTGCTACACCTGCAGCAGGTCCATAGCTGTGGGGCCATCCACCACCGGGCCGTGCACCACGGAGAGTAGCAGCAGCACGCACGCACCCCTTCCCCATCCACTCCTCTTGATTTGTAGAAGGGCAGGTTCGTCTGCCCAGCTGATACCACGCGCTCGGCGGGTCCCCCGCCCCCCCCCCAAACCGACGGTCGATTCTGATGCGCGAAACCATGAAGAGCGCATGTGTCTTGTCTCGAGACGGTTTGCTGTTGCCCCTCTCCCTCGCCCGACCTATGTCCTGGCCACCTGACTTGTATACCCGACGAGCCCCGATAACTATCTCAAAGTAGTGGATGCTATGCTGGATCTAGAGCACGACGCCCATGAGCGTGCGGGGGGGGGGGACTTTGTATACTGGATTGCCTCCCGTGAGCCCCCCTACCGTCCAACCTATAGCCTGACCGCCTTCTCACCCTTCCTTTCCCGACCGGCCGCCGAATAAATGCTTCCCGTTCCTCTGTTTGTCTATCTCCTATCTCTCTGTCTGCCTGCCTGCCTGTCTGTCTATCTGTTCTCTCTGTCTCTCTGTCTGCCTGTCCGTCTATCTGTCGGTTCTCTCCGTCTCTCTGTCTCTCTGTGTCTCTCTCTCTCTCTCTTGGTCCCTTCCTTTGCACCCGTCCATGGACTACCTTAGATCGATCTGGTGCGCTTGCCGCACGCCTACACGGAGCTGCACGCACAGGTCTCCTCCTCCTCCTCCTCCTTCTCCAACAGCGACAACAACGACAACAGCAACAGCAGCAGCAACAACAGCAACGGCGGCGGGAGCGGCGCGGGGCATCCCGCAGTGTGCCTGGTCTGCGGCGAGGTTCTCGACGCGAGCGGCCGAGGGGAGTGCACTAGACACGCCAAAGAGTGCGGGGGTGGCACCGGCCTATTCTTCCTGCTGCAGGTGGGGGGGGGGTACTCATGATCTGTATGCCTTAAATACTTGTTAAACCGTTGGCCACAAGCCGGTGCGGGTTTTGGGTGGCGTATTGGGTGGGTTGGGACCGTTTTTTTTAGGGGGGGGGGGGGGGGGG